GGAAATTGTGCCGGTATTCAATTTTCGGAATTCTGACCCTTCGGGGATAATTGCTTCCGATATTTCGGGAGATTGTGCCGGCGTTCAGTTTTCGGGATTGTGACTTTTCGGAATGTCATTCTACTAGTTAAGTTCTTCGGTACTTTTTTCTCGAGAATATAAATGTTCATCTTTCGTCTGTTAACGTCACTAAAGATTACCAGACATATATAATGATTTTAGTCATAATTCCGGCATGGTCCAGCAATATAGAATTTCATAGTCATTTTTACTACAATATTTTCTCCAGGTAGAGCCAAAGGTACCATCCAGTCACTTAAGTCACCTTTTATTTTGGATGAGTTATTAAAAAAAATTCACTATCGTCAAAATGAGTCACTATAGTCACTTTTCTGAGCTGTCTTTAAATTTGTAAAATATAGACGTTCTATATATTTCTGCTGTATCTCTTAATTCAAATTGCTTCGAAAGTATACTTGTACCGTACATGCACTCGGTCTTCCTCCTTGTTATGACTCTTCAAATCATACTACGAAAAGAAAAGAACTCGCTACTCTGATGGACACATTTCATTGAAAGTATAATAGAATTTGACAATAAAATATCACTTTTGGTCACTATTTTAATGTCTGAGATATCATTCTTTATCATCTTTTCTGCCAAGAAGCAGTCACTATCTCACTTTTTTCTTTCGGTGAGACTGGATGGCAACGCTGCGTAAAGCCGAGCGAGACGCGGTAACGTTGTGTTTTTACCTGCACTTTGCACCGTCCATCAGCTTTGACACTGGAGGCACATTAATTGCAGGATATTTCAGTTGAAACGGGCGCAGTAACACAGTTACACTTGAAGACGGCCGTTTGATTTTCCCCCTACAGAGAGACGTTTTCCGAAAGTGCTGCCCGTCTTCGCACTGCGACCATACTCGCTCGTTGGTTTTCAACTTATACCCAGCTTCTATAGTACGTGCGAAGGTGTACCACGAAATCTCTTGAAATTCACTTCCGAGAAATAAATGACACCTCGCACGGTTACACGAGAATCGGAGAATGGTTTCACACGACACGACTTCGCGTTTGATGTGATTTTAATTTATGCGAACTCGCTACTGAGCGCAGTTTTTAGGAAGGCATTAAGAACAGATTAGATCTCGTCGATAGCTACCTTGAGTAACGACGCGGCCTGCCGCTTGTTCTTCCAGCGAAGAGAGGAGCGCGCACGTCGCGCAATGGCGAAATTATACGACACATACACATACACGTTTCTCTCATGTTTCCACTTGTGTTTTTATTTTGTTAATTTCTCGTATAATATACTAACAAAACATTTAATTACAAAACATGGGCATATCTGTGTGTATGTGTGTGTGTGTGTGTTGTGAGTGTATGTATGTGTGTGTCTGTGATGAAAGCGGCTATGTGTTCTCTATGCGGTACGCGTACCTCTTCTGGTTAATGTAGATAATACGATTAAACTTCATAAGTTCTCTACGATAAGTAGATGGATCGATAACGACAATTTACACGCAAAAAACGTGTGGCAAATGCCCCCGTCCCCCTGTCTGTCACTCGTCCCCCCCCCCTTCCCCCCATTCGTTTCTGCAACTTCGTTTCACGTTCAATTAATCGCGTTAATTCGCGAGATTCTGTTCTGACGTTATTGTGCTTATTTACGAAAATTCGTTCTCTGTGTGTGTGTTTCTTTCTCTCTCTCTCTTTTCCTCATCCTTTACAACCTATGTCCGTCATAAATACGCAAACGCAAGAAGGGATAAAAACGCTACTGTAGTATGCGATATAATAATATATTACCGTACCTCGATATTAGTTATAAATAGTTTTTAATAATTATTTGTCGAAACACTGAATATTTTACAACAGCCATCGAATCTCAACTATGTAACTCTATTTAAACAGTTTGCAACTTTTACAGTTCATCTTTTTTTTCCTTTCCTCAATTTCACCTTTAATATTATTATGCGTAGCGTGTCTGATCCAATATCATATCAATAATAGGGATATATCATAAATTTTGTAATTTCCTAAAAAATATTCTCTAAAAAATATGTCGACCTAAAGATTATTATGACTGATAATCACAGACAATTTTTTCAATTTTTCTTTTTCCCTTTCATTCCGTCGTCGAGTTTGTCAATAATTATTATTTATCTTTCCTCTTTTCTTTTAAACAATAGTACAATATTTCAAAATTCTACACTCTGTTTAAACATTAGAATAGTAGTTTTTATACACGTCTTAAGAAGCGTTTTACATTTCAATTTTCCATTTTCTTTCAATTCTTCAAGTTGTAAGAATAATTTAATCCTTTTTTTTAGATTTCCTCTTTCGGAACCCAAGATACACGAAGAGACGAAATCGCCGGTTGTGATAGGTTCGTTTAAACGTTCGCGACGCAGTCGAGTATCGTATGCTGCGGTTACTCGCGCTCGCTCATCGTTCTTTCCGCGAAATAACTTAATCACTCGATTTTATAACGCGACACCGTAACGCAACATCTGCTCAATCGTCGGCTCGGAGCGAGCCCAGAGCTTGTCGAGAGGTAAAACATGCGTAAAAGTCGGAGAAAAACGAGATCTAGCTATTACATCTATACATTAGTATTCTTTTCTTTATTATTGTTAGATTATACGTTTTTATTCTCTCTCTCCCTCTCTTTCGCTCCACCGTACCGTACCTCGGATGTCCGTCTTTCTCACACGCAACGATATTTTTGGAAGGTGCTGATGAGTGTAGTAAACAAACGGTGCTCAATGTGCCCAAATATACGAGTGACTTGAGTGGTGATGTATTATACTCTCTCTCTCTCTCTCCATCCCCCCCTNCCCCCCCTTTCCCCCCCCCCTCTCTCTCTCTCTCTCTCTCTCTCGTACTCTCCCATTCTCTCTCTCTCTCTCCATTTCTTTATGTGTGTAGATTATAATTAATAGCGATAATTAAGAATGATAATAATGAGGGCTGGATGCGTAATACTAAGGAGGCTCGTAATAAGCACTCCGCGCAGTTTAAGGAGTAGTTTAAAAAGATACAGAGTATGTTCCAGAAAAGCGACCGATAGATACTCGTGGAATTCGTCAGACGAAGGGATATTATCGGGAGATACATAGACCTTTTTACGTACTTGGCGTCGCTTGGTTTTCTTTTTTCCTCTTTTTTTCCCCTCCCTCTTTCATACTTTGTGTCTCTCTCTCTCTCTCTCTCTCTTTCTCCGTCTATCTCTTTTTCTCTCGTTTTTCGTGCCCCGCTACAAACACGCGCTCAAACTATTCCGTACTTCTTTTTCCTGCCGGAGTACTCGTGGGTATATACTTTACGAAAGTATCAATAATACGAATAATGAGAAGAGACAACGTGCTCAAAATTCGAGTCTACTCACGAGTGTGTACACAGGGTACTGCCTACGATCACAATACTTAGCGATGTAAAAATTCGGCGTTACGAAGTGGGCGTTTGTATATGTGTGTGTGTGTGTACGTATGCGTGAATATATGTGTACATATGTTTTGCAGAGTATACACTTCGTAAAGCCCAAAATAGTCTCTATATTCGTGGCGTAATGATCTATAGAAGCTGCAATCGAATCGAGGATACACACCGTGTTCCTCGTATACTCGTTGGAAAAACGGAAGTAACCTAATCTCTGTGTCTGTATCAACAGTGTGACCACCGTGTGTGTGCACCAGTTCTAAATCGTTCGGTTTACGTTAGCACTCTCTTCTTTTTTTTTTTTCTTTTATCCGTCAACCCTAATACCGTCGTCCGTAATCAATAAATATCAATAAAATATCTAACATCGTTATTATATTTTCAAGTAAATTACCACCCTTACTAGTCGCATTACTTTTCATGTACAGATTAAAATTAATTATCATTATATTAACAATATTCATCTTCCAATAATAGTTATTAATTATCTGTAATTATATAATATTAAAAAAAAAAAAGATTCAAAATATCTAAAAAAAATGGCAATTTCACGTGACCAGAACAAGTTTCCATTTTCCCCCCATTTTCGTAACTTTTTACAACTCAGCATACGACGCACTTTGTACCAAACCAGGCCGATTAAAATCGCAGCACGACTGGCGTTTCACTCGCGTGCTCAAATAATGCTTTTTTCACATGCCATCGCTTCGCTCCTTTATATTACCTCTTTAAATAATTCGCGTTCAATATTCTTCGTATAACGCATTTCTTATTATTATCAAACACTTCCGCGCACTGCAACCTACTATCTCTTACTCTAGGCCATTTTTTCATGAAAAGTGCACTTAACGGTGTCCATGGAGCACCAAAATTTAAGGGACTACCACCTCGGCAGAGATTGATTGATCGCGCTAAGATACGATAGTGGTCTCGAAGGGGCGCGCGCGTGTTGCGCGCCGTTCTCACGGTTGTGTATGTGTATATGTGTGTGTGTTAGTTCCGAATATAAAATATCATTTGCGTACGTACATCTAAATCTATCACCGGGTAGAAGCGTAGGTACATTAAAAGTAAGGCAAAACTGGACTTCACAGAAGGATATTGGTACGGAATATGTGATATATATGTATATGTATATTCGTAAAAATGTAAAATATATTCCTATAAAAAGCATCTCTAATATTTCCCACTATGGGAAAGTATCACAAACGTTTCCCGAGAACGTCCCCGGAAACGTTTATCTCAAACAATGCGTAAACCTCGTCAGACAGGATGAACTGACTTTGCGATAGAAGCTCATCCGAAAATTATATCCGTTGAAACGTTAGCAGGCTCTACTGAATACTTAGTCAAACGAAATATCGAATCTGCCTTGCAGATTTCGCCATTTGAACTCGGTCGGACGTTAAAAAAAAACTCAGACGTTGATAAAGTCAATGATCGTGATATTGGCAAGGTGGAAGCACACACACATATATATATATATATATATATATATATATATATGTATGTATGTATATATATATATATATATATAAGTATATATATATATATATATATTATATATAAGTGCGATATCTAAAAATATACAGAAAAAAATACGAAGAAAATATCAAACTGGCGCTGTTCACCTTTGAACGATTGTTCGAAAACTTTTTCCCTCCGGAAGAAAGACAATCATCTTACGTCGCGGATACTGTGCAATTAATAAGACAAAATACCGTATCAATGTCTGCCAAAGTAGGTACACCTTCGAACAATGTCCTGTATAGAGGAGACTGTTCTCTCTCTCTCTCTCTCTTGCCTCTCTCTCTCTCTCTCTCTCTCTCTCTCTCTTTCTCTTTCTCTCTTTATCTCTTTTCCTCTCTTTCTGTCTTTCCTTAATGCCTATATTCCTAACTTAAGTTAAAACGAGTTGCTGTACTTACATCAATGACGATATATCTAGTCTAACAATTACATATTTTACAAAAACATTTGAAATCTGGCCCTACACAGCAGACGTGAAATGTCACGAAGTTAGTCATACACTGTACACTAAATTTAAAAATTTACACGAATCATTTAAATATACAATTGTATTAGCGCATTAGATTCACCCGCTCGACATTTGTACAATGCGCTTTGCGTCATTTTTGTCATCCCGTGACGCTCGAGAGAGACGCGCGAAATCGGCCTCTCGCGAGCCACGATCGTCGAAAACCCGTTGCTTTTTCGCGCCTCGGTCGCACCAGAGTCATCGGGCTTCACATTTTTTTTCCTTTTTCAACGTTTTAACGCCTATAGGGGGAAGAATTTCTCAAATTCGATCGAACCCTCGACGAACCATTGACGACGTCACGCTAGGATACACATGAAAATCAAACGAACCGATGAGCCGTCGATGCATTTAGTGTAAAGTGTAAGATAACTTGTACACTTAAGCCTCAATAGTAGATAATAGGTAGAGTCTAAAAGTCGTGCGAGAAAGCACAGGCGTGAATAAAATAACACTTTCAAAAGTCTCAAAGCGCGTTAGTACACGCACGACTCGCCGGGATACGAAAGCGGGACATGCTCGAATCGTTTATTGCTATAAGGTATACGTGTGCATATACCTTCCCCCTCTCCTCCCTATTATTCTTCCACCATTTCCACTTCCTCTCTTTCTCACCTTCTTCTTCTTCTTCTTCTTTTCTCTCTTTCTCTCTCTCTTTCTCTTTCTCTCTCTCGTCTTTCCTCTTTACCTATTAAATCAACTACACGAGCGTAGTTGTTTCTAAAGTAACATCGTCGCGCAATCGCCGTGCTTCGCCGTACTATACACTCTGGCCTTCTAATATTTAAAATTGTATAATCTATGCTCTTTCTCATAGTAATAAAAAGCTGCAATCTCTGAAAATAGTTTGATGATGAGTAAATGAATAACGTTCAATAAAACGAATCCTATTTCGAAAAGCGCGCGCGCAATTATAGCACATATTTTATCTCTGTGTCGTCGATCGGCTGCTTAGGATAAGCTGTATATACGCAGTCTCAATTGAGGTATTTGCGACATCTGCGGGAGCCGCAGGTACACGGGATCTTGATGTCCTCGAACGGGAATTTGTAATCGTACGTTAATTCCTCCCCCTGAATGATACGGCGGAGGGCGAAAATCAATATGTGTTTCTTACCGAGAATGTCCACCACTCGCGAGTAACAGTTTGGCTGTAACATAAGCACGGCGCGTTAATACACGACTGTTGACGAATCTTTATCACTCTCTATGATATTTAATTAATTTTAAGTGAAGAAAATATAATAGGGGAAAGGGTGTAAATATGGAACGAGGATTGTAATATGGTGGAACTCGTATTTGTGCTAAAACCACTGCTTGAAATTATCGGTAGTTACACTCACTAGGAATGTAATGTAGCTCTTGAAGATTTAACCATTTTTTTTTTCATATGTGTATTGTTAAGTATAAAATATATTCTTATGTGTTCGATAATGAGATTGTGAAATGATAGATAAATATTTGGTAATATGTGTGCTACGTTCAAATTCGTTAGATTGCGTAAAAAATGGCTGTTGGTCGCAATATGGGACGTCTCGTATCGCAATCAATGTAGCAGTTCTGGCGAGAAAAGAAGGTTAGATGTCGAGCTGCTACAGTGCCGAGGAAAATTTTTTTTATTTCCAAAGAGATTATTTATCTTGTATATAGTCTCTCACACATATGCATACTTAAACGTTAGGTTATCTGATTTCTTGTCATTTTGCAAAAATGATATGTTTTTTATAATAAAGGTTTTCCTTTCAATTTACCTAATTGTTCCACATTACCATTTGTTCAGATCTTTGATTTGACATGTGTTGACAAAAATGTGTATACCTTTCCAGTAATTGTATGTTTGGTCTTTAACTAATGGCATTTATTCTCAGAAGTATGCTAACATTATTGACGATTGTTCATTCAATATTTAGATTTAAGATTATAGTTTTTCTTTGNTATTTTCACTCTTTCTCCCCCCCCCCCCCCCACACATACAAAATATATATATATATAAAAAATGAGAAATTACCTCGCACGAGTGATTGATAAATCTCGCTGCATTCCCTTTCATAGTGGCGTCCACAACAAGATGATCGTCGATCTTAAACATGTAACAGCCAATGTTCTTGCTGTCGTAGTACTTTTCTCTCTTGTCGGTCAGAGAGGATCGAATAACCTGAAGATAATGATTTCACAATAGTAGTAGTAGTAGTAGTAGTAATAATAACGACAGATATGTGCGCAACGAGTATCGCGACATGTGGCAATTCTTCATTACGACTACATCGCGATATTGAACGGTCCTCAAACGATCGTTCGCCACTCACCTCACCAGCATATTCAATGACCATCTCACCAGCCTCGATGTCACGCAGGCAAAACAGACCTCGACCGTGTATGTGAGAGTGGTACACACCGACAGACTCCTTCGACGTTTCCTTAAGTATTCTAAAGCGCATCGCCATGGGCAAATTGGTGCTCGCAACTCGCCTGGAAGAGAAAAACGTGTCATCTCGTAACATCCTCCACTAGAAACATATCGCCGTTACATAAGCAGTCTTTAATCTCAGCCTTTTTATTGAAATCTCTCGTGAGTAAAAACAATTACTTTTAATTTTCGCTCGAAAGATCGCTGGAAACTCTCGAACAATCAATATTATTCGACGGTCACGCGTACACTGGCGGAAAACACGTTAGAAAAAAGAAAAAAAAGAGTGGATGGAGAGAAACTCGAGCTTTTACCTGGACTCCGCCTCGGATATGGCGATCATCTTGGGCTGCTGCCTGTGCCGCGACGCCAGCCAGCTGAACATGTCGTGCACCTTCCTGCTCTTGAAGGGCTCCGCCCGCGCCGCCCCGTTGTCGGAGGCCGCCGGCAGCTCGTTCTCCACGTCGCCGGGTCTCGGCGGCGCCGGCGTGTGGAACCTGGGTTTGTACTTGGTGCACCGGTTCACGCTCGGCAGCTGCTCGACCAGATAGACGGTCGCGTTGTTCTCGAGGCCGAGGCCCTCCAGCAGCGGATTGTGCGGCAGCGGCGGCAGGTTGTGCGCTTTGCGGGCGTTCTGCACCGCCTGGAACACCGTCTCCCAGACTTCGGCCATCGACGACGCGGTGTGAGTGAAGCCGTCCTGAGACTTGATCTCGTACATCAGCGTCGGCCCCCTCGAGCAGTTCTGCGGGTTGCTTCGCACCGGTCTAATCGACTTCGCCAGGATCCGTGGTTTCTTCACGGCTACCGGCGGCGCCTTCGCCTTCGGCTTGTCCGCCTCGATCTTGTTCGTCTTGAGGGTGAACGTCTTGATCGGCAGCAGTTGCAGCGACGCGATCTGCGGCAGCTGCTTCGCCGGCAGTATCTCCATGGACGTGACCTGCGGCGTCTTCTTGCTCTGCGCGACCGCCTTCATGTTGCGCGTGATCTTGTACGAGCCGTCCTGCAGCTGCTTCTGCAGCACTATCTTCAACGACGTGTTCTCCAGCTTGAGATTCTCCTTCACCTTCTCGATCGTCTCAGCCGTGTTGAGCCGGACGTCGCTGCCGTCGGTGGTGAGCGCGGCGCCCTCGGCCGGTTTCTTCATCGGCGCGATCTCCTCGACGATCATCTCCTTCTTCGGCTCGGCGATCTCCGGCTCGGCCGGCTTGATCACCGGCTTCGTCGGCTCCTCGATCATCCCGATGTCGTCCTTCGACGCGGCCTTCGACGGGTCTTGCTTCGGGGTGACCGCTTGCATGGGTAGCACCCTGTTCATCGGCCGGCTGGTGGGCATGCTCGTCGGCATCGAGATCTTGTTCGGCGCGTTGGAACTGCCGACCACCGGCGGATGGCCGACGTGGTTGCCGACGTTCGCGCTCGCGCAGTTCGAGCTCGCCGGCGCGCTGTTCACCTCGTGATGCGGTTTGCTGCTGACCACCATCGCCCTCTGGGCGATGCAGTGATTCGGCAGGGGCGGTATCTTCGACGAGGAGATGCTGGACTTGATCATGCTGGTGTTCTCCGACACGTGCTTCGAGTCGAAGTACGGCCGCACGCTGTTGCTGATCGGCTGTTCCGCGCCGCCGAACAACGGCTCGGTGATCTTCCACGGGCCGTGGTTCACCTGGGCGACCGGGCTCGGGCGCACCGCCACCCGGGGTATCGCGGCCGGCATCGCGTGAGGCGGCGGCAGCCGCACGTCGGACGAGCAGACGTCCGGCACTTGGATCACCGGCTTCGCGACGACGCTCTGACAGGCGGCGGCCGACGGCGGCACGACGTTGCACGCGATGGAACCGAAGGGCTCCGCCGGCACGTTGATCTGCCGCGGACCGGCCGCCGGTTCCATCGGCGGCAACGGCGTCGGCGCCGCCACCGCCACCGACGGTTGATTCACCACCACGTAGCCGCCGGGCACCGTCGGCACGTTCTGCACGCTGGGCTGGACCGCGGTGACCGTCGGCATGGCCTGGACGTCGACGATCGGCTCCATCAGCTTGGACGCCTGGAACACCTGGGTCGTCGTCTGATAGCTGCTCGCCAACACCTGCGGCACCGCGCCCGCCATGAACTGGCTGGAGGACATGACGGTGTTGCTGACGATCGTCTCCAGGCCGTAGTACATCGGCTGGTTCGAGACGAACATACCGCCGGTCGGATCGGCGAACATCTCCAGGGTCGGCGCCGAGCTGAGGAGCAGCTGTTCGGACGATATCACGCCGCACTGGATCGCGCCCGGCTGCTGTTGAATGATGGTGCCGAGCACGGCGGTGGGCTGAGTCTGGGCGATCTGCACGCTCGGCAGTATCGAGATGCCGCCGCCGTTCTGCAGGGCCAGCAGATTGTCCGACGGGGTCTGTATGTAAGCGCCCGGCACCAGGTGGTTCGTCGCGATGAACTGCGGCTTGAAGCCGGACTCGTGCTGCCCGCCGATCGTCGTGATGTACTGCAGGTTCTGCCCGGACTGCTGCTGAAGCGTCTCCACGTACGCCGACACGATGCCGGGCGAGGCGACCTGCTGGAGGATCACGGTCGGCCTCTGCTGCGTCTGCTGCGCCAGCTGGATCACGGGGGCGCCGCCGCTCTGCACCGGCTGGTGGTACCTCGCGTGCGACGGCGGGCCGACGTTCTTCGCGAGCTGCGACTTGACGGTTTTCGCGCGAGGCTTCGCCAGCCGCGGCCCGCCACCGGCCTTCGACGACTTGGAGCCGCGGTTGACCTGGGAGGGCGACGCGAAGGAGGAGTCGTGGGCGGTCTGCACGCCGGTCGACGAGAAGGTGGTGGGCGACATCTCCGGCGTCGGGACGGTGCTGTCCGGCGAACTCATCGGCGTGTTCACGACCGCGTTGGCGCGCGGGGTGTCGCCGTCCGTGATCTCCGTGATCCGCACCGTGCTCTCCTGCGGTAACACCGGGTTCGGCAGAGTGGTGGTCCTGCGCGTGTACTGCGTCTGCACGATCACCTCGTTCGACGCTAACACCGTCTGGTGAACGGTCTCGACGTGGGTCGCGTGGGCGTGGATCTGCGGGGTGATGATCGCCTGGGCGATCGGCTCGATCTGGATGCTCGGATGGGGGGACGGCACGGACGCCTCGATCGGCGAGGTCGCCTGGATGTCCGTGTAGTCGGTCGACAGGGTGTGGCCCTCGGACGGCGAGAGGGTGATGAACTGCGGCGAGACCGAGCCGTTGCTGGGCGAGAACCTCGAGTCCGGCGAGGAGGCGAGCTTGTTGTCCATCGTCTCGGAGTCGCTGTCGCTGGTGATCATGATGTCGCAGCTCGCCAGGTGCCGGTTGTAACTGTCCTGCGTGCGGTACGTGCAGCAGCACCTCTTGCAGGTGACCGGCCGGTCGATGTGGCGCTGCTGCTGCTCGAACGTCGCCGCCGCGTGCTGGCACTCGTCGTCGCTCGAGATGTCGTCCGCGCCGTCCAGCTGCGGGATCTGCTTGAAGACGCTCTTCTCCTTGAAGGGGGGCGGCGGCCCGGCGGCCGTCTTGCAGCAGCACCTCGCGGCGGCGCCCACCAGGCTGCCGCTCTTCGCCCTCGGCGACTTGACGAAGCTGAAGATGCGCTTCGGCTGCAGGAAGGTCGCCGGCTCGTTCGTGTCGGAGGACGAGTGCTCGTCGTCGATGCCGTCCAACTGCGGGATGATCGACTCGCGGCCGCTCTTCTCCTCGGCGTTGTACTCCGGCGAGCTGCACTCGCTGGCGTCCGCCGGGCCGTCCACCTGCAGGATCCGCGGCGGCTGCTGCTGCCTCGGATGCCAGAACAGCCGCTTGTGCTCCTTCGCGTCGTCCCGCGCCGGCAAGATGCGCCGATTGTCCTCGATGCAGTACTTGAACTCGCGCATCGAGTCGGTGAGGATGTTGGAGGTGTTGCCCCGGCCGACCGTTACCATTATGCTCTCCGGGATCCTCAGCTCGTGGAACATGGACGCCCGGTCGTTCTGCGCGTCCAGGACGATCAGGCCGGCCTCGTTCGGCTTGACCGTGCCCGACGGGTTCCGCGGCAGCTTCCGCCTCTTGATGCCGGCGCCGTAGCTGTTGTCCAGCTTGCAGCTCCAGGTGAGGCTGCAGGAGCGCTGATGGTGCCGCTGGTGGCCGCCGACGATCAGCGGATTGTTCGACATCACCTCGGACTTGGAGCGCTTCAGCTCACGGCCGCCGCGTTTCTGGCTCTTCGAGTTGAACAGGTCGTCCATGAGATCGTGCACCGCGCTCTTCGCCTCCAGCCGCACCCAGAGGTCGTTGTGCGCGCCGAGCTCCAGCAGGGACGACGAGTCCACCTTGGAGATCTTGCTGTCCGGAGGCTTGATCGCCGTCTCCTCGACCTCCGTCGGCAGCATGTCGTCCTTGAAGAGGTCCGCGGTGAAGGTGCCGTCGTTCTTCAGGTCCATCGCCAGGAAATCCTCGTACGACATCTTGGGGAAGATGTCCTGCATGGAGATCCCGTCGAGCAGATCGTGCGGCAGGTCCTCGAATATCGCCTCCTTCAGCTCCGGCGGCAGGATGTCCGTGTTGTTCTGCTCCGCCAGGTTCTCGTCCACCTCCTTGTTGCACACGATGTCGATCAGCGTGTCCAGGGTCTGCTTCACCGCCAGGTACTCGAAGGCCTTCTGCGCGTCCGCCGGCGCCTCCACCTTCTCCAGCTCCTTCGTGTGATCGATGGTGACGTTATTCTCCATGTCGGACGGGACGTCCGGCATGTGCACCTGCACGTACGTCCTTATGCAATACCGCACGATCTTGTAGGGATTCACCGTCGACCAGTAGAGCCTGGAGCACTTGTAGTCGCACGGTACGATCCTCTCCGCCGTGTCGGAGAACTCGGGCACGACGGTGCCCAGGCAGTCAATCGTCAGGGAGCCTATCATCACCTTCACCTTGTTCGGCTCGGCCTGCTTCTTCTTCTTGCGGTCGAGCTCGACGTAGACCGATCGCTTCAGGCTGAACTCGTTCTCGCTCTGCAGCGGCTTGTGGCCGCAGTGATTCGCGTGGGCGGCGCAGAACACGGTCTTGTCGTCGTTGAAGTCGAGTCCGACGTTCCTCGCGCACGGGTAGTGGAAGGTGTTGCTGCAGTTCTTCGCGCAGCAGCCGACGCTCGCGCCCTTCTTCCCGCACTCGGTGCACCGGATCAGACGGCCGCGCGAGATCGCGCTGTGGACGTTCTGCAGCGAGCCGTCGATCTCCTCGAACACCTCGTTCGACCAGAGCGCGCAGTTCGCGTGCACCCACTCGTTCTGCCCGCAGTACAGCAGCCTGCCCTCCTTCGTCTCCTGGCCGTCGCCCAAACCCTTGCACAGGCAGCACGACCTGCTGTCCTCCGCGTGGATGCTGTAGAGATTCGCCGTTTTCGCCGCGATCGCCTTCGGCGCCTTCATCAGCTCCTCCTTCCACGCCTCCAGGATGGGGTCGTCGAACTTGGTCGTCAGCGCCGCGTCCTTGCTCGTGTTCCTCACGGACGGTGACGCCTCGCACTCCTCCTCGTCGCTGCTCTTGAAGCTCTTCGGGCTGAACCAGGGGAAGACCTCCTGCAGGATGTCGTGGTAGGTCTCGGTCAGACCCTTCGCGCCGCTCCGGCTGATCACGTGCTCCATGTCACAGTGGAATTGCGAGAGCGACTTGTACTCGTTGCCGTTCACCCGGCGTTTCACGGACATCAGCGTGGGCGACGGCCTCGCGATGATCTGCTGCTCGGAACAGTGACACTCGGTGGCGTCGCCCGTCGCCGACTCCTGGCTCGTCCAGTTCTCCCTCCTCTCCTGAGCCGCGTCCTGCGCGTCCTTCGGTATGCAGTTCTTCACCCTGACCGAGCACTCCCGCAGATGGAACTTCTGCCGCAGCCGGCGCAGACCCTTCCGAGCGGGCCCCTCCGTCGACTGTTCCTCCGGCTCGGTTTTGCTCGCGGCGTCCTTGCAGCCGGCGGCCGCCTCGCCGCCGTTCTCCGCGGACTTGCTCTCGCCGTTCGACTCTTCCGGATCTTCGTTCTCCCTCGTCTCGCCGGCCTTGTCCTCGGGAAACTCGAGCTTCCTCACGCTCAAGAGCGGTCTGCAGAGACACTCCTTCCGGGGGCTCCACTTGAGAGCCGTGCACACCCTGCGGTTCTTACTCAGGGCCTTGATCACGCTGATGAAGCCCGCCTTCAGCTCCGCCTCGATCGCGTTCCTCCATATGGAAGAATTCGAGTTGGAGGAGCACTGGCTGCACGTGAACTCGATCGAGTCCGGCAGGTAGCTCAGCACCTGGTAGCGCTCGTCCGAGAGGCCCTCGCAACGGGCGTGCACCCAGCAGGAGCACTCGCTGCACTCCATCATCTGGAAGAGATGCGCGCGATCATACGGAGAAAGAGGAGCCTCTACGGTCGTTCTACGTCAGTCGATCTCGTTGCGACGGCCAATCGTGAACGGCTTCTGATTGACTGTCGCAACAAGAGTTGCGTCCGCTCGCGACTGATGTTAAAGAATAGCCTTTGGAACGAGAGAGAAGCACGCGTGTACTCACCTTCGTGTCGAAATCGTTTTCGTTGTAACACCTCTGACACAAAGGACAATAGTTCCCTTGCTGCCTTAACTTAAAGCACATGGAGCACAGGGGTAAATTGCCCACGTGGACGTTGACGCCTTCGCTACCGCAGCTCTTACACTTAATGCAGCTCTGACAGACATACGGCCGATCGGGACTGTAAAGTCGCGAACTGACGCCGGACTTTGACAAACACGAATGGTGAAACGACTGACGACAACGAATGCAGGACAATTTCGGGCCGGATCTTAGATGGCAGGATTGACATATCGTACACCGGGGACAACACCAGTTTGGCTGGGCGCAAGCGTTCCATTCACTGGGTTCCAAACAGAAGGCGTGGTATGGCTCGCAACAGCACTGACAGTGGATCAACTGCAAAGAACGATCGTTATGTTGACGATGTGGTGCGGCGATGTTTATGTATTATTTATTCGCGTATCACTTACGCACATGACCGAAATGACTGATGTATCGGTGTGGATGTGTGTGCGTTACTTACCGGCTCTTTGCCGGCGCTTCCGCACAGATAACAAATGGCAGGTATGTGAAACAGCTCAGAACCGATAAGAGCGAAACCCTTCGCTCCGACCTCCGAGGGATCGTATTGCTCCCAGAAGTCTATGGAGACTGTGTACAGGGTGTCCGTAACTGCCTTGGATATCTGCGATCAGATGATTACATTATTATGCGCACGATGTGCTATTTTCTCTCTTTCGTCACAAGGTGGTAGCACAAAGTGAATTTTTTTCCTATTTTTTTTTTTTTTAAATTCGTTGAAACTTGCGCTATATATAAAGTACGACCTAATTATTGCGACGCAATTAGAAAATGATTGGTCATTCGGAAGCCGAGATATTTGCATAACTCGAGTTGCCGTTTTTCATGCGTGCTTCTTGTAATTATAACGTCCTATTTTCAATTCCTATCTTTTAATTTCTTCTAAACCACATTTACAGTTTTAATAAAAAAATTGTGAGTGTGATATTAAGGACTAATATTAAACGTTGTACGGAAATTTTAGAATTATTGGCCATTTTGTTACGAAAATGCAGTGGTGTAAAGTTGATACTCGAAATACATATGCAAATATATGCACATATATTTAAATATTTATCGCCTCCTTCTATTGTGCGCTTCTATTAGATCAACTAACGCGTGAAAGTAGCACATTAATAAGGAAAATACAAAAATAATATCTTGTAATGTTGTGTGCACATTGTCTGCTTCAATTTTCGTTTGAAATTAACATTTATTACTTAGGCAGTAAAATAAACGTACAGGGGCTTGATTTTGCTCGACAAACTAAATATGAAATTTCTGAGTCGCTTCTCGAGTCGCGCCACTGAAAACACTCACTCGGCGCTACTACCACCTCAAGGTACTCCTGTACTAAGGTACCGAATGCTAAGATAAAATAAAATGGCTTTGAGAGATATCTTACCACTGGAAAGTGCGACGTTGATACACTCTGTTGCGGCTTGCTTCTCCTGGGATGAGACTGCTGAATCGTGTTAACGTTGAGATTTAGACTACTATCTTCGACATTCTTCGGCGCTTCCTTCTCCTTCGCGACCTCGTCCCTCTTCTCCGGTTTTTCGGTTTCCTTCGCCGTCTTTGGAATGTTCTTGCCATGTTCGTTGTCTTCCTTCGTATCCGCGGCGGGGAAAGTCGCGATAGGTTGGCCGAGAGCGACACTGGCGCTTCGGCAAACGTGCTTGACCCTCGGCCCCTTCAGCTCGAGCCTCTGCCGAAGAGGCGGCGGACACTGGTTCCCGGTTCCCGACGAGGCGAGCACGGGATTTTTAATTTTCTTCCTCACTTTAATCCTATTGTTTTTCCTCCGCTTCTTGTTCGGCGATATGCTCAGCGAGGTGTCGACTGCAACAGAAGGTCGAGTTAGGCGGGAATCCGCGCGATCAGTCGCTACGAAGGAGCGAGTTGGTGTCGGAAAGCGACGACGTGCGATCAACATTGTCTTACACTTATCTATCTTTGTGTAGAGAAAGCCTCCGGTACCCTGATAACTCGTCTTCTGTCCCATCTCGAAGTTCCTCCAACTCGTGGCGGACTTGAAGAGATTCCTCTCGGAGCTGTCTTCCGCGGGCCAGCTCAGCTTGGAGCCCAACTTCTGGCCCTGACCGTCCTCGTCCTGGCCGAGCGGCAGGGATATACTCAAGGGATCTCTCATTATCGGCGGTAACAACGCGTTCAAGCCTGTTCTCAGGGCGGATGGAATGTTGTAACATTTCAAGCACATCTTCAACCAGCAGGCCGGACACCTGGCCTTGTAAACGCATCGCATGAGGTTCCACTGCTGACTCCTCACTACAGGCGGCACCAAGCACAGACCGTCGCCCTTGTGACACTGGAGAACGGGAAGGACCTTGTTCGAGGATTTTGCGCAAGCCTGACGCTTGATCATCTTGCTTATGAACTTCCGACAGGACTCGCAACTGTGAATGCCGAATTTGCGCGCCTGTTTCACGAACCGATAAAATCGCACCGCGCCGCAAACGCCGCATTTTATAGTTCCCGTTAATCCTGCAACGTTGAAAGATTCATTAACAGACGGGAAACATTCGGCAGAATATAAATAAAGTAAGAAATATGGGTGTGTGTGTGCGTGTGAGAGAGAGAGGGATATATTACCTAAATTAGTATTTCCTCCCATGGTATTGCTAGTGCTCGTCGTTGAAAATGGTCCTTCCGTTCCGGTTAAGCACTTGTTATCCAACTTTAATCTCGCTTTCCTCAGAATAACCTTCCCGCCGTTCAGTTTCATCCCGCTGAATTCAGACTGCTCATCTTCCGTGTGATTGCTGTGCTCGCTCTCGCTTTCGGACAGATTGCTCTCCCGCGCCTCGAAACTCTCCAATGTACTAACCGCAGTCTTGTCGTTATCAGGCTGAACGTCGGTTCTCGCACAGCCGGCACCTTCCGTCAATCCTGCACCACTCTCGGAGCTCGCTTGATTGCTCGCATCGGCCGCCACCTCACTTTGGGTTCCTGATCTCGTCTGAACCCTGGAAGACTCGAAGTTTGGAACATTGGATTCGGGAAGAACTTTAGTAGGAATAGAAATCTGCTTCTGATTTCTGGGCACTGTTGATTTCGCATTTTGCGCCGCTCTGCTCGGATTCGGCGGGCACTCGTTGCCGCCGGAATTGTTGTCGGATGCGTTCTCGTTTGATACTTTATTCTTACACGATACGGTATGAGATTTCTTCACTTCTCTATGAGCGACTTTTGATATTTGTGCGTTTTGTACAGAACCCGTCGATTTATCCGTGCCTCTCGTCGTCGGCTGAGTCGCAACCTCAACGCCAGAATCCACAACACTTTGTAACACTTTCTTCGGCTTGCTCCGCGTCTCCTTGTCTCTCATTTTTGTACACCTGCCGCCCTCGTCCCCCTTCAATTTTGATTCCTGGTTGCAGTGCTTCTCCGAATTTAACTTCGCCTTCTTCACGTGCACACTGATCTCGTTTTCGCTGTGCTCCGTGCCGGACACCTCCTCCAATTCCTCGATGAATCTCTTGTTCGGCTTTATGACCCGCGACGAATGGACGCTGCGAACCGGTAAAACAAATTTCCTCACCGTACTAGCCTTCTCGCCGGTCTGTACCACCAGGTTACGCGTGTTACTCCCGCCTGACTTCGCCCTTTGCAGCAGCCGCTTCGCAGTACTGTTGCGCAACTGCCTGGTACGTTGATGCTGATCCAAGATGTTGTTCACCGACTTTAGCACCGGGCTTTTCATGTAATTGGAGAATTTGATATTCTTGCAGTTCCTACGGCTCTTGGTCTTCTGATTTTTCGGAGACGCCTCGTCGTCTATGGCTGCGGCTGGATCCCCGGTGTCTTCCACCGGTTTGGAATTTCCATCTTTAAGCTTCTCCGTGCCGTTCTCAGGGTCTGATGGTGAATTTCTAGCGTTGTCAGTGGTGTCCTTCTTCGTCGACTGTGGTGCAGGATTCTCGACTGTGACCGAGGGTGATTTGTTGCCGCTCTCCTCCGCATTGTGTTGCTGTGTTCTTATATAGGACGCAGAAAGATTCGCTTCCTTAGTGCTAAATCCATGGAACGGTGGATGTTCCTGGGGGGAGTAGGGGAGAGGGAAAGGAAAGAAGAAAAAGTATTCTCGTTAGTCATCAGAGGTGGCAGATTGCTCGACAATTAATATATACTATTCGCTCGCTATTCGCACGCTTTCACCTGTCATACTGTGACCACCGCTGTGGCAAGAGGTAAACAAACAAGTGGTTCCTGAATTCACGCTGAATCTCTCTGCGAGCTCCTGCTCCTCCCATCGCCCCACAGAGGACTACCGTGCAGAGCAGGAATTCACAGTGAGCGTGCCTCGACAGTGTCCGGTGGCGAGGTAAGCAGAGAGTGCGGACACACTCAGAGCAAGCACGAGTCGAGATGCCGCCGCCTAAACGGCGACATACGGAAATAAAGCGAGGCTCCCGTCGAGGGGGCTGAGCATCGTCGCGGGCGCGCGCGAGTCGTGCACCTGCCATTCCGCGGTTCCGCGTTAGGTTAACCCGCGGCTCTCCCGGGCTGTCGAGCTCTCTCGTCGGGTCGCCGTATGCGTCCTCGGCGACACGCGGGAGAGCGGACAGCCGCAGCGGGACGTTGCGTCGTCTCGCAAGCGATGACGCGACGCCGTCGATCGCTCGCTCGCTCGCTCGCTCTCTCTCTCTCTCTCTTTCTCTCGGCTCTCTCGATCGGCCTCGCTGTTGTCGGCAACAGCGGCGACCGCGAGACGTCGACGGCAACCCCGCGCGCGCCGACCGTAACAACGACGACGGATTTTTTTCCCCCTCACCTTCTCGTTGTCACCGAATGTTTCGTTGAACAGGGAAAGTCCGTAGTAGATGTTCTCGGCGACGGTTACCGGATCGTTCTGCGCTACCTCGGGCTGGCCGAGCACCTTGATCCGTTTCCTGGTGGCCGTCTTCGGCGGCTTACCGGGAAACTTGGACCTTCCCATGTTCACTGTTCTCAACGGCCGACCTCAACCTCGCAGCGAAATTCCGCTTCCATTTTACTCGCGATTTGTGCCCACGGCCGAGAGGCGCACCGACTCTCTCGCGCGTACACTATTAACACCGACGTATACGCCGTCCTCCGACATGCACACGTACGCGCGCGCACACAGAGCCGCGCAGTGTTGGGCCGCTCTCGGGCTGCCGCCCGCCTCGGCCGTCCTCGGCCCAGTTCGGCAACGCTCGGCCCGCGAAATACGCGCGTACTTCTCAAACAGAGAGAGCCTGGTCTACCAAGGCGGGCCACGCCGTTGCACGCTGGTGCTGCACGCTCGCGCATGGGACGCGCAGCCTTCGCTCGACAGCAGCAGCCGCCTCTCTTCTCGCCAGCCGCGCTTCGAAAAATCGCAGCCGGCGCGATCGCAGTCCGGAGAGAGAGGGAGACGCGCCAAAATGTCCTCCACGCCTCGCCTCGTGACAATGGAAATGTGGTATGAAGGTTATTTCTTTACGGCGATCGTATTTCCGCCGCCGACGAGAGTCGACGTCACCTTGGGAGCGACGCTCGCATCTCGTCGAGATCTCGAGAGATCCTCTCGGTCGATATCGCTGGACTAAAAGTTAACACTCATCGGCCGTGTTCCCTCCGTGGTCGCGTCGACGCGACGATGTATCGCGGATATCATTTTCTTTTATTTCGCGCCGGCGCCACGGTTAGACGAGGTTCGATAAATGAGGGCCGAGATAGAGATCTCGCGTGCGGATATCGGTGACCGGAAAAAACACAGTAAGGGCTGTGCACAAGCGACAGTCCGATTCGAACGGTAGGTGTCACGTGACTCGCCGCGGTGCCGCCGCGTCTAGTTTGAACGGCGAGCTAGCACCGTTTTAACGCGCGCACGGTTAATGCTCGTTTTATAGAGCGGATGTTTTATTCATGAATTATTACTCGCGCAGCTGCCGGGCCGAGTATCGACATTGATTTCACGTCCTTGTTCGATCAATCGGGAGCGATGGTAAGTAAGGCGACGGCGTGAAATGGAAAAATTAAGCGATCTCGGGAGATAACGCGGTAATTTGCATCGAGCGGGCGTAAAAGGTTAAAATTAACTCCGTTGAACCCCCTCCGCCCCCTCTCTCTCTCTCTCGCTATATGTATATATGTATGTATAATTATTATAAAAATATCAAAACACGTCGGCTCGCGTTTGCGTGTGCGAGAATAAGTTTTTTCACATGTGCGAGCCGTGCTTCACGCGACGTTTCGGAGACCACTTACGGGCCAATTACGTGCTTTATGCGTACTTTATGAAGTTACCCTCTCGTACACACATCGTTAACTCGTACATACTTTGTTAAGAGTCCATTGTTCGTAATACCGTGGCAATAATCCTCGCTGGTAAGAGGTGCTCGGCCGCTCGCGGGGAACACAAGAGAAAGAGGAAGGAAACATCGTATCGCCCGGCCCCCCTCCCCCCGTCGCTATGTATATCCATTTATTTACGTAGCGTAGAGCACACGATAGCGTATCTATTTACTTATCTATATTTCATCGCGCCTTGCGCCAACTCCCTCGGAATTAAGCCGGTATCCTCTTACAAGGCCGGCTTTTGCCGGAAGATTTACTTGTAATTCGTTTACTCCTTAGCGCGTTCGCCCGTGTTGTCGGTTCATTATTTTTGCCGAAGCTACCGAGCGGAGCTCGAACGAACGAACGCGGGAGAACGAGGATCATTTTAGCGGCCGCTTTAATTGCTTCCGGTATTCCATCGAACGTACGTTTACTCAAACAGTAATTAAGATCGCGCAGTAACTCGTCGCTTTTGCCGCGGCAGCTCGCGGAAGAAAGGTAAGGCAGGCCGGAGGTGGGCCGCGTTTGCTGTCGATTGATCGATTTCTCTCGTAGCCCCCCTCGCGTGTATTTCCGTGTGCACGCGTATACCGACTTCTTCTTCGACTGCACGCGCGCCGACCTGGGACGGTGTAATATATTTAAAGCGGCGTCGATGCTCAACGGTGCGGCGGTAAAATTAAAACTCGCAGCGCGTGAAATATTCCTCGCGACAACTTATTCCGCGGGAGTTACGCTGAAACGAGAAATAACACCCGTCCGTATATATTTCTTATTACTTCTATAAGTAAACCGCGCGGCCGTTCGCCCGCCCGGCCGCTCGTTCGCTCGCTCGCGTAGAATTCGCGGCCAAACGAACGAACGAGTCTCAAGCATACGGTTGAGGTAAAAGCACCAACGCTCGGGCGTGCCGTGCAAAAGCGGCTAAACCACTCGGGTATTCTCATTATTTTGGTCTTTAAATACGAATATTTAAACTTTCAACATGTGGAATATGCCTGTGTATTAAATGCATGTACCGCCCGCGGTAAGCAAGAAATCACCAACGTTATTACGGTGATATTTTGTAGCACGGTAGCGTTTTCAAATACGCGGTTCTTTATATTGTACAAACGTCATCGTTAACGATATCTGACTGAAATATTGAAAATAAGGTTTTACGCTGCAATTTTAATGTTTAAGAATATTACGTTATCGAATAACAGTTTTTATAAAGTTTAAACACATTTTTTTGTATTATTTTTAAGGTATTATACCAAAATGCTTATAAAATCCGCACAAAATCAATGTTTCCAAAGGTCGATTGAATGTTTTTTCGCTTATTGGATACGTATTCATGGTCGAAGATTTAGATATTTGTAGTAAAAAATCAAAACAGTAAGAATGCAGATTTAGATGCGTGGGTATTTTTATCTTACTTCGATGAAACACTGCCGCCGATTATCACTTGATATTGTTTTGAAATGAAATCTCGTAGTGTGTACTCGTGTGGCGCAAAGATACAGTCTCCATTAATGTTGTCTCATTCCTTAGGCGTAGTGTCATCAAAAATTTCCAGTCAAGAGCATTATATTCGAATATTCCTCATCATATCATGACTGTTGATAATTTGATGACTGAAACAACACAAAATTCTAAAAGACGTCGTGCACAGTAAAAACTATTTTGAACTTAAACATTTTGTATTAAAATCGATCTTTATCAAAATTTTTATGTTAAATTTTTAACACACCCGTATGTTAATTTAACATATTGTGTTTACATTATCGCAATATATATATATATTTTTTTGTGTTGAGTTTCTCGATATTCAACACGAATAAATGTTAAAATAACACATTTTATATTTCAGTGTCGATTTAATATATTATACATATTAATTTTATGTTAATTTTTGGCATGATATTTGTGTTATGTTTCAACATACTCATCTTGTGTTAAATTGACGCAAAAATTTGCATTGACCGTTTGACATATGTGATATCTGTTGAATTTGACACAAAATATTTTACTATATAAAAACATTCAAAAGGCGTCCAAAATTCTTCAGACATCTTCACGTTTTTCGGACATTTGTGTTGTATGGGGAATCGGCACAATGTTTCAAAGCAGAAATCACGATGCACAAATATTCAAATATTCAAAAATACCGCGCCTAAATGGAAATTTTCGATGTTACTAGCGACATTCCTAGGGAATGAGGCAGCATTAATGGAATCTTCTGTACCGCACGCTACCGACGCTGTATGCGTGGTCAGTCACAAAAAGATCGCAGCACTTTCTTTTTTTAATAACTCTCGGAATACATTCGATGTGTCGAATAAAAGAGTTCGTTTTTCAGTAATTCTCAGGAGATACATATTTTCCTGTTGGATGAAAAATTGCGAAACTTATCGGGAAAAGGGTGGTGTTGCAATCTTTTTGTGAATGAACATACGCTTCTCTTGCGAAATAACGAACGACAGCACCGCACGCATATTGTCCGCATCGTGAATTACAATCTGTTCGAATTTCAGCGCCGCTCCGGGCGACAGGGAAAACGAAACATTTATTGGCTCGCCTATACGCTCGCGTTATTAAATTCGAATTTCGCTTCGAACAACTAACAATAACCCTCGCTGAAACTCTTAATTACTCAGATATTCCTCTCATTCGATCATTATGTGTTAAAACTTCAGTTCTGACTGAGACAAATAAGATGAAAGATTTATTAGACCGTATTTATTTTACGATTTTTCATTACACACACAAACACACACACACGCGCGTGTGTAAACGTTGGCCCGAAATCTTACGTGGTAATATTTAGAAATCATGTAAATGTAAGTGTGTAGCGAAAGCGCGGTGTACACGTATCATTTACCTCCTCGTCGACAATCAATAGCCTTGAACAATTCAAGACGGCGAATTTTTAGCCGAAGGTGCAGGATATATGTCGGCGTTAGCTTATATATTCTTGTCGACGTAATTAATAATGTCCACCGGAGTTCCTCTAATATCTCGGCGCTATTCCCGCGGTAAATCATCGGCGAAATTTCGGGGGGAAAAATTGAACCTACCGTTGTTCGGCGGGTATAATTGTAATAATTTAACCGGGCTCTCTCTCTCCCTCTCTCTAACTTCGTTGAAAAATTCACTCACGAAAACGGCTACATCGAATGTCGCAGCTGAAATTACACTTTTCACCCCAACATTCAGCGGTGTTTTGGAAATTATAACCGCGTCTCACTCGGTTTCAACCGGCGGAGAGAAGTCCGCCATGTTCCTCAATAATACCAGCGGCCTTTTTCCGCCGATTTTCCAGAAAATCGCTCTCACGATGACGAGTGCCCTCCATTTCCCAATGAAACATGGTCCTCCCTTCTCCCCCTCCCTCCTTTCATTTCGCTTTCGAGAAGAGGGGTGGGAATTTTTGTTTGATAGAATTACGCCCTTTTAACATTGGGCAATGGACTCGTTGATCGAGTGACGCGCGCGCTGCTCGTTCGGTCGGTCGGCCGAAAATCGCCACCTGCCGTGGTGGCTGCCGGGCGAAAATATCGGACGGGCGTGTGTCTGTCGTCTCGCGTCGAGTCGCGGCGCGAGAACAGCATCTGGCTGGAAGGCGTCGTCTACGAGGGCAACTTCAAGGCTCGTTACCGGCGAGCGCGCTCGCTCGAACACCTCACGGGCGAGCGAGCGAGCGAGCGAGTCAGCTAGCGAGAGCTCGCTTATCTCTCCATCATTCCGCTCGAAATACTCGAGCGGGTGTGGTACCACCGTGGCTGTATTCGTTGGGATCG